CCGGTATACGTTCAATTTAATTTATTTGTTATTGCAAAAATGATGAATGAAGGTCAAAATTTAAAAACGTAATATTTATTGCAAAATTGTTTTTTTTGTATTTCAAAATATTACATTCAAGCCTATAAAATTACGAACCAAATGAGCCATAGCAGGCCTAGATCGCTTGATTTGTTGCGTTAATTAGTTTATCCCACGATCTTCAACTTTGAAAGCTCATAGGATTGCTAAAAAAATGGTAGAGGGCTAATTCTTGTTACATTTTTTTCCTAAAGCCGTAAATTTTCATATTCCACTGGAAAATAATGAAATGATTTTTTATGAAAAAAACAATTATTTATGAAGTTGTAAAATTGCAGTTAGGTATAAACATTTAGAGCTGCAGCGCCCCCTATGTACCCTACAAATTTCTAGTTTGCAGATTATTGTATCTGACTTCGATACAACTATTAAAACAAAAAAAATTCTACGACCAATAGGAGCCAAGTTAGCATAATGTTTTTTTAATCACAGAGACAATATTAATAACAATTAAGAAACGCATCTGGCGACTCTCGGAAAAATTTGCAATATCTCGGTGAAAAATAAACTGATTTCGATGATTTTATTTTTAATCTGGGGTAGCTCGTCGAAATAATAACATCTAGAATACTTTCACCCTTAAAAAACCACCCCCAAACCCACAATTTTTTTTAATATTCAATTTTTTTGTCAATTATTTTACCTTTACAATACTATTAAACGTAATCTACTACCTACTTGAGAATATCTCCATGAAACATCCCCATTTCTACAAAAAATTAATATTCCAAAATATAGACTACTATTATTTCAGTATAAAATTTTTTTTAATACTTATTCTTCCTCGCTGTGTAATCTTTTATCAGTGAAAAATTATGTTAAAGCTTAAATGATTAAAATTTCTATTTAAAACAATCTACACTCAGGTGCAAAAAAAACGATCCATTCCTTATTTTTTATTTATTTGAACTTTTATAATTTTAGAAACATTAAACTACGTATATAAATTTAGGTGTAAATTTAGATGTAGGATATATTTCTTAAAACAAATTGGTATTTCAGGTTTTTGTCAAAAAGGGTCTGAAGCAAGTAGATATTTATTAAATGTTGTTTTTAATTCAACAACCTATAATGTAGTGATTTTATTTTCAAACCGTGTTATATTTTTATTTAGTTATCCTTCCTAAATGTCTCTAACTCAGACATATGCTGCAAGGGCGGTGATTTTAGTTCAAGATGGTCGTAGCTAATATTATGCAGCCGAAATTTTGGGTGTTAGTCGATTTTCGGTTCAAAGAGCAGTTCAGCGTTTTAGCGACACCGATAACTTCACAAGAAGACCAGGATCGTAGAAGGGTAACATCTGAAAGAGATGATCGATTTCTGGTCTCATCATGTTTGAGAAATCGGCATCTAACTTCAGTTGAACTGACAAATCGTCTGAGCGAAGTAAGAAATGTGGATGTAAGCAGATGGACAGTTCGTCGACGACTTGTAGAAGGTAATTTATTATCCATAAGGCCAGCTCTATCTCTAATACTATCCATATAACATCGCAGAGCTCGCCTGAAAGAGAACATGAAAACTGGAGTGATGCAGATTGTAGCAATGTATTGTTCTCAGGTGAGTCCAGATTTTGTCTAAGGTCACCAGATGGCCGAGAAAGGGTTTGGAGAAGACACGGAGAGCGATATTTTCAATGTAATATTGCGGAAAGACTAAGTTATCGGGGGGGCTCCGTTATGGTTTGGGCTGGTATCAGTTCAGAAACCCATACTGATTTAGTTATTCTAGACAGAGATTATATGACTGCTACAAGATATAAAACAAGTATTTTAGATCAGCATGTGGTACCTTTTGCTCCTTTCATTGAACCTAATTTTATTTTTATGGACGAGAACGCACGTCCTCACCGTGCTAGAATCGTCAACCAATATATAGAAGAGGTGGGAATTGTCCGTATAAACTGGCCAGCTTGCAATCCCGATCTCAATCCCATATAACATCTATGGGATATGATGGAAAGACGTCTTCGACCACGAGTACCCCGTCCAAACAACTTGGCTGAACTTGCAGCGGCTCTTTAAGAAATATGGGACCAATTGCATCAATTTGATATCCAGAGGTTAATTACCTCAATGCCTAGACGTGTACAGGCTGTTATAAGGGCCAGAGCGGGAAACACTAGATATTGATTTATTATCAAAGTTTTTCTTAGTTTCAGAAAGTTTTGAATATTCTTGTATGTTTGAGTTTTGGCGTACGTCTCTATAAATAAATGATTTTTTTTGATAATCTGTAAAAATTATTTTAATGTAACATACACTTTTACATACAGTAAAACCTCCGTTAACCGAAATAATTGGGGGGGGGGACGTTTCGGATAACAAGAATTTCTGTTAAAAATAACATTGTTTTTTATAGTATTCTTGGTCAAAGTATTGGTATTAAACAATACTATGAGGTAATTTCGTAATGTTTTCCAATAAGTAAATACAATATAAAGTAATAAAATTATGGAAAATGAACTAGTTTAACATGCTTATTTAAAGAAATCTTCTATTTTCTTTTGCGTTATCGTTTGGCAACGTTGTTTTGCAGCTATATGTCTCAATCGTTCATTTGCAGAACGTCATGAGTTTGCCTTATTCCATCGTTCGACGAAACCTAAAGTAATCTGAATAGGATAAAACTTTATACAATAAAAACAAAAATTAAGAACCCAGTCGTGTCCCTAACTAATTAGGTCTACTGTATAAAACTCGTATCCTTAAGGCATTGAAAATCTCGTCGGCGGTCTCATGCTGCCTGTTGTCTGTTGGGTCGTCATCTTCGTCGTCCGATACGCTCAGGTTGTCTGGATGAAGAACCATATTAATGATGTCCTGGTCGATGAATTCACTTCATCATCCAATCAAAAAGTTAGTTCCAGCATTTTTCCAAAGTTAAAGAGTTGATCTTGGCCCAGAACTCAGCACACCGATAATCAACATATTTCATTGTTGAAGATTTGAATATTTCGGGAACACTTTTGGATTCATTCGTTTCCTGTAATAACATATGTCTTAAGAATTCTCCTCTACAATGTCTCTCGAATGTCTTTATTACTTATTGTTCTAACAGCTGAATTAAGCTCGTGACCTTCGGTGGCAAAAATCTGACAATTATCACTATTGTGTAGATTTTGAGGGTGAGTTGGTGCATTGTCAACAAGCTACAATGCTTTGATTAGAAGGTTTTTTTTTTATTTTAAAAAGGATTTTATACTTTAGACGAATTTATTTTCGAACCATTCTGAAAATAAAGTCGTCGACATCCATGAGCTTTTTTGGCTTCTATAAAAAACTGGAAGTGCTTTTTCTTAAATGACTTTTAGAGCTCTTGGTTTTTTTTTTATTTCCCAACACACATAGCATCAATAGGTGAGTAAAATGAATGGAATTATTTACGTTTTACGATAAAAATTTATTTTTTATTGACGAAACTATTGAAACTGTCAGCCGTTTCGGTTAAACGATGTTTCGGTTAAAAAGGTTTCGGTTAAGGGAGGTTTTACTGTATATCCATACCTGATTTAAAACTAATATCTTAGAACGTTTTCTTTTTTCAGCAAATAATACCCTTGGATCGATTTTGTTGTACCTGAGTGTATTTTCCAAAAAAAAACTCAAAAAAATTGATTTTCAAAACTTTTCATCAAACTAGATTTTTAGTACGATTTCATGAGAAATTAAATAATTGGTTTAATAAATTAAAATAAACATCATATATACGTATATCTTAAATCACAAATTACTTCGATACAAGGAATAAATTAGTAAAACAAAGATATGAACAGTAAAATAATTGTAATTTATTTACCTATATGGTTAAAAATGAGATTCAATATTTATCAAATCAGAAATATGCTTAGTTTTTATTTATTTTTATAGATAGTAGATTATACAATTTCCTCAGAATCATTCATCCAAATTCATCAACAATTCATTCAACAATTCATCCAAAATATCCATCTTAGTCTCACATTCTTTTTCTGCGTCATCTAGTTCATATTCAGCAGTATGACAATTTTCACAACTCTCTCCATTACAATTTTCGCACATTCTCGTACATTTTAGGTCATGCTTACGGCATCCGCAATATTTGCCACTTGCGATTTCGGTGCTACATTGAAAAAAGGTAAACTTTATTCGTCGTTTTTAACACTAAATAATGATTTTATTTTAAGGAGAATACAAATACTTGAAAATATAAGTTTTTAAGTAGTAAATGACGCCAGATTCGTTTTTTAATTGGTATTAATAAAGCCTCTGTGGTTTATGCTAACTCGTCTCCTATTAGTCATAGAAAATTAATTTTTTTAATCTTTGTCTCGATCCCAGCTACAATAATACAACTTCATAAATAATTGTTTTTAACGGGTTACATTGTTTTTTTTTTCATTATTTTTCAGTGGATTATTAAAATTTACGGCTTTAGGAAGAGAATGAAACAAGAATTAGCCATCTACCATTTTTTGGCAATCGTATGAGCATTCAAAGTTGAAGGTCGTGCGATAAACTAATTAACGTATCTCAGCAACAAATTAAGCGATCTGGCCTACTACGGCTCATACGATTCGAAATTTATAGGCTTGAATGGCATACATTTGAAATAAAAAAAAGCAATTTTGCAGTAAATATTACGTTTTTTAATTTTGACCTTCATTAGTCATTTTTGCAATAACAAATAAATTAAATTGAACGTATACTGGCTTAAACTGAAGGTCTTTTGGAGTACTTTTATAATCTATACAGAAATTACCTATTACAAAACTTACTTTGGGCAAAAAATGAAAAAAAAAACTTAAAAAATACGTATTTTGCACCTATAAACGCTCATAAATAAACAATAACAAAAACTTAAGTAACTGTTGTTCAATATTGACAATGCATTTTGTTTCCAATATTAACAATGCTATTTTAATTATTGAATTTTAGGTAGACATCCACCACCACCTCTCCCAGGAAACCTCCAAGACATTGCAGACACTCCACCTCCAGAATATCACCAAGTTGGAAATCCAAATATTCCGTTGTCGTGCAGTTGTTCACCAGGTGCTGAAAACAGAAGTCCACAAAGTTACCGAAGTTCGCCTAGTCCTACTCAATTATCACCAGGTGGACCAGACGACTTGTCACTTACCAAAAAAATAGCAGAAGATAATTTGGAAATCAATAAATGTTTGGCTCCAAATGACACTCACCGAGTAGCAACACCTATTCAGTAATAAAGTTTTATTTGTGAATAAATAAGAGGCAATGAAAAGCAAAGTAGAATACAAATATTTAAAAAACAAATATTTCGCAATAATTATTTGCAGAACGGGTTAAAAAATTTTTATACAGTCTAAAAATTACTTATAATGTTTAAAAAGTAGAGATATAGCCTAATATAAAAAACTGTTTGTTAAAAATGTCATTAAAAGTACGAAAAATCTTGTATACTATTGTAATTGTACAAAATTTTGTTATAAATATACATTCATCCCTCCTGTTGTAACAAATACTTCATTTTACGTTACTATAGCCTTGTAGATATCGAAAAAATTGATTAACTTTAATCTTTTTAACTACATTTTAAGGTATTTTTTTGTTTTTGTCAGGGATATTTCAAAATAAATCAATAAATCATTAAATTTATTTACTAAGTTGAAAAATATTTATATTATTGTTTTATTATTTTTTCGTTGCCAGTGATTTTATCCTGTAAAAGACTAAAGATATTTGTTTTCTGGTAGTTTAAGTTGTAATATAACATTCTGTAAAAACCTTTCTATCAAATTGCCATATAGAGTGTTCAGAAAAATGTTTTTTAAATGTTGTCATAGTTTTTGAGTTTATTTTTTTAGATCTGGGCATACAATGGCTAGTAGACATGTGTTGAAGATATCCAATACTACTAATTTTGTCAGTAATGACAATACAACTATTTAGTCTTTTAAGGAATAAAATCACTAGCACTTAAAAAAGAATAAAACATTAATTTAAATATTATTTACCTTCGTAAATAAATTCAATAATTTATTGAATAATTTTTAAACAGCCCCGATAAAAAAGCAACAAAATATCTTGAAATACATTAAAAGATAATTAAAGTTTTAGTTAAACAAACATAATATTAAAACAAGAACATTGATAGTAAAATATCTTGTTTGATATTCTTACCTCACAAATTCACAAACAACAAATAATATCAATCGCACATAATAAATATTCATAACCAAAAGTCCTCATTTATTCTTTAAACAATTAAAAAAACCAATATTACTAACTCCTTATGGGACAAATACACATGAATTAAAAATGTTTGGAAAGGTTTTTAAAATACTTGTCCATTGTGACATCAGAAATTAGGTAGTCCATTGTCCAAAAAAACAAAAACATTACCGATGCTTTCAGTCTGTTTTTTGAAAACTGGCCTAACCCCTTTTATGCAATATAAAAAAGTATCTAGCGATCTCTTTTGTGACGAATTAATAGGTTTTTAAATCATGTATATTGCTTTGCTTTGTTATTAATGTACATAAATTTTATAAAATGTAAATATATATATATATATTTAAGGGACATAAGTTAAAGGGTAAGGAAGTGATCAAGAAAATAATACTCAACATATTAAAACAATATTTTTGACGAATGAAACTTATGTTTCTATGTATGTACTAATGATCAATGTACTAATGTCAATATAGCCAAAACAATAGAGGTTGGGTTAAAAAAATTCATATAAAGGTAAATATTGGTAAAAATATTTGGAAAACCATTATAAATAATGTGAAACAGTTCTCATCAATTTCTCATCTAAAAACAAATCATTCCGGTTCAAAGGTCGCAGATAGAGTTTTTTGCTTTTTTAAGCCAAAACAAATCATACCATTATGTATAAAAAATTTCTGTATCCTTTTTTTCTAAAAGTAATCGTTTTGAAAGGAACAGCGCTGGATGGCTCTGCTGCTGTTCGATGTTAGATATGCATTTAACACTCTGCGGAGGAAAGTGTTACATGCATTTCTAGTGGAGGAATTATTTAACGACCAGAGAAAGATAGTACATCTGTAGATAGTACAGTCCAAATGGGAGATGTAGGCCCAGAGATAACCAAATCAGAGGTTAGTCAGGCATTAATCTACATGAAAACCAATAAATCTGCTGGTCCAGATGAATTACCAAGCTAAAGTTGGTCAACGAGACAAACCTGGACATGATACTAGAGAAATGTTAACATCAGCATTTGTGTGTTTGCCAAAGAAAGTGAATGCCAAAGAGTGGAGTGACTATCGAACCATAAGCTTAATGTCACATACCTTGAAAATTCTGTTGAAAATTATCCACGCCAAAATTCACTGTAAACTGGAGCTATGATACACATATGATATACATATGATACACAATATGGGTTCTACAATGGTATGGGTAACAGAGAGGCATTATTCTCCTTCAAAGTGCTGATACAGAGATGTTTGGATGTTAACCGTTCTCTTTTATAGACTACAATAAAGCGTTTGATAAAGTAAAACATGACAGACTCATGGAAATTCTAAAAAATAAAAACCTAGATGAAAGAGATTTAAGAATAATAACAAACCTTTAATACAATCAGCGAGCAATAGTATGAATTGAAAAAGAGACATCTGAAGAAATGGAAATAAGGAGCGGAGTCAGGCAAGGCTGCATACTATCACCTCTATTCTACGCTTATTCTGAAGAGGTAATTCGAGAAACTCTGCAAGATGAAACAGTCAGCATAAAAGTAAATAAAGTCTTAATTAACAGAATCAGATATGCAGATGATACAGTAATAATAGCCGATACTTTACAAGACCTACAAAGAATCATAAGTAAAATAGTAATGTTCAGTAGGGAGTACGGCCCTAGTACTCCCGAGAAAAAAGGTCCTAGTTATGTGGCAAAGATCCAACATTAGCTCTTAAAATACGCCTAACAAAATGTTACGTATACAGTGTACTATACTATGAAGTAGAATCATGGACGTTAAATCTAGAAATGAGACGACTAAACGCCTTTGAAATGTGGACCTATAGAAGAATTATGAGGGTGTTCTGGGTAGATAGAATTACGAACAATAAAGTACTAAGAAGAATAGGTAAAGACAAGGAAGTTGAACTTCCAATTAAAGAAAGAAAGCTACAGTATCTCGGACATGTGATGCGAGGCGAGAAGTATGGCATCCTGCGACTCAATGCAAGGAAAGATAGATGGCAGAAGAAGCATCGGAAGAAGACAAATTTCATGGCTTAAGAACCTGAGAGAATGGTTTGAATGCAGCTCAAAAACAACTATTTAGAGCTACTGCCTCAAAATTCAAATAGCTATGATGATTGCCAACCTCCGTAGCGGAGATGGCATCTGAAGAAGAAGAAGTGGAGAAAGGTGATGTGGGCATTGGAGGAGAGGGAGCGTCCTAGCTTTCAGACAAATTTAATGGCGGAATATTTTTCGGAGAGAAAGACCATGCTTAAAAAAGGCATGCTCGTTGACGTAACTGCTCCAGTGCAAAAGTGATCGGTCTCGAGTTCAACGCTATGGAACCTGGCATATGAAGGGGTAATAAACTGCGAATATTGAAAAGGTATCACCCCCTTCGCCTTGGCAGATGATTTTGCTGTGCTGGTAGTGACACGGAACGAGCTAGATCTCTGATTTTGAGTAAGACATACGAGCAACGTCGTGAAGGACTGGATGACAAATCACGGACTAAAACTTAAGGCAGAGAAGACTGAAGCCATCATTCTGAAGGGTGAACAGAGAAGAAAAGGAAAGAAATCTGTTACATATTGGCGGTGGAAGTGATGCTATACCCATATGGCGACTATGGAAGCATACGGGTGATAGCCCAGAAAGCAGTTAAGCGTGCGGCTGCGCTGGAAGACGCAAGTCGTAAAGGAAGAGCACTCTAAACGGTGTTGTGCAGTCAAACATCCTTTACGCGGCACTAGTCTGGAGTGAAGAGGTAGAGATACTGACCTACCAGTCTGTTGCGAGTAGCATGCGCATACATCACGAGTAGCGTTTTTCTGCATGTGTTAGCAGTAGAAAGGATACATCTCTATTAGAGAAGAGAGCATTTAACTACAGCTACAAAAAAGAAGAAAGCAAAAGATCAATGAAAAGATGGCAAGAAGAGAGAAACAGCACGAAAGATGTTGCACAGTGGACTAAGATGCCGAATACAAGCTAAGGAACTAGATGGACTGTGGCCACAAGCGACTAGATTACTTACGGTGCCTATATTATGGAGATCATCGCATGATATTCTCGCCTAGAGCATAGCACTGACAGTGAACGCTTTCATTTAAAATAACGCATTTATTTACGTGGCGATGATAATATCATACCATCCTACGGTCCGATCGAGGGATGGCGCCTCGTTTTGAACGCACACTTACTGATGTAAGTGCTCACAGGGCACGGGTGTTTTAGGGCCTATCTTTATAGGTTCGAAAAGACAAATGCAGATAAATTCATATACTGCGAATACTTCGACACTGTTAGTTATATAATGCTGTAGTAGATGGACAGTGGAGAGGAACAAAATGCTTAAAAAATACGTATATTCAACAGTGAACAAGTAGGAGAGGTTGGTTTTAATTATTAGGCAGGATAACAGCAAGGCATCTGTTTGCAGAACCTCCTTCTAGAAGAAAATATTTTGGATGTACTCCTCTACCCTAAATCCAACCGAAGCCAGCGTTCCGTAGGGATGGGTTAAGCTGTTTTTACGGTTTTTAGAAAATTTCCATCATCAGAAAAGAAAAAAAAGCACATAAATTAAATTTATGTGCTTTTAATAAAATGTGTGCTTTTAATAAAATGTGCTTAAATAAAATAATGCCTACATGCAAGTTTGTTTTAGATGGTCTATATCTTCTTCCTCTTTTCGTACTTTATGTATCTCAGATCCCTCGTTTTACCCATTTTTTTTTCCTAGAGACTGAGTGACAGAGGCCGTATTTACTGTCTAATAACATGACCAAAGTATTCTAGATTTGTATTTATATTGTAAACGCAATTTCCGGATATTTATACATTCAGTATTTTCCTGTTCGCTATATGGTCTGTCAGAGATATCTGAAGAATGTTTTTATATTTGCGTAATATCTAAATATTTAATGTCTCATCTTTATACCCTCAATTATTGCAGCCTTCCCATTTATTATCGCCTTTAGTTTTTGAGATATGCTTATGTTGAATTTAAATCCCTATGAAT